GCATTCTGTGCAGCCTAAACTGCTGCCATGGCGGCTATGGCCAGCTGTGAGCTGGCGTCTGGCGATCTGGGCAATCCTTGGTTAGATGAACTACCGGGAGTCTTTGCCGGTGCCTTCCTAAGGCACAACCGGTGGAGAACTGGAACACACAGGCCAAAGGATCCAAAGGCCTTTTATCTCATGAAGATCAGGTGACTAGAAAACGTTCTTATATAAAACTTATACAGATATTTTTTGAATATGGTTGAATGCATCGATACTTCGCCAGTGTGCCGAGGGCAAAAGGTTTGGCATGAGTAGCGCTGCTGTGTTGGAAGTGATTTAGAGATGAGCTAGCGCTGAAGAAGGTTTGTTGTTGCAAGCGCCGTTGCCACAGGATGTGAAAGCCTGAGCTCTGAGTGTGTAAAAGGTTCTCAACGAAAAATAGAAGAAGGTTTCAAGTCGCGTTTTCACTTTGGTTGCCACTGACTAATGAAGAAGCTGGCTCTTGATCCTTCACTTGCGGGGCCTCATGCTGGCTTTGTGAATGAACGCTTGAGATGAAACACCGGTTTCTGATGATTTCTGAGCTTTTCCTTGTCCAGGAAGAAAATAGAGCAGCACTTCGTCTCCACCCTTGGTGGTGAGGCTCGGAAGGGTGGTTCAAGGGCCCCCATAGGAAGAGCAGTGAAGATTTTCAACTAGCCGTCACGGCCAAGATTTGGCACGAATTCCTTGAATTTCCATAAATGTCGCTATATATCGTTATATAGTTCAAGCAGCTCAAGCTTCTAATCTTCCGAAGCCCTGGATCTCAGCAGACATCGTGCCAACAGTCTCAACTTTGTGTCCGTGATCCAGGTGCATACCTATTCTCAGACCGGCCTCAAGCTGCACTTTCTACAGCCATCCGCCCCGTACTTTCAGTCTGACCATTTAGAACGCCAAGAAAGCAAGAAGGGCTGTGTGGTGTTCTTGCATGGAGGCCGGGGGCTCTCTTGGATTTGGTTGAACGGCACATTTTTTTGCTGCACTGTTTGAGAATTTGCGTCCGTGACACCACGTTGCACAGGCGGATTTCTTGGTGGTGCACCATCCCAAGTCTATCCATATGCCAAGGACAGACCTTCCAGGGTGGCATGGAAGAAGCATGACGAAACAGAGACCTGATGTTTTCTTCATAGAAGAACTTCTTCAAGATCTTCAAGACGAATTGAGTTGGCTAGGATGTAACGTGGATGTATTGTACATTGCAGTTGGAAAACCGTCACACCTTGCTTTTAATGCTGCTCGAGTACTTGGACTACGGCACATTGGTGTTCCTTCCGTTAGGTTGTCTGCGAGCGTTCTTGTGCGCGTTCCATAGGGCGGCACGGCGAGTTTGTCTTCATGTTTCCTCACTGTGTGCACTGTGGGCAGTGTTTTGTTGGGGGTGGCAGGGGGTAGTTTGGGGGGTTCGGGTGGGGGCTAATAATGTCTTTTTGCCTTGCGCGTTGATTAAATCACTCGTTTTTACCCTTTAACATTTTCAAGTAACTTGGAGCCCGCTAGGGAAGCTACGCCACTACTCTCTTAACTTTTTTAATTACTTGGAAGACGCTGTTTATCAAGTAATTTGCAGCCCTCTCAGATGCTACGCTCTTAAGTTTATCAAGTACCGGAAGACACTCTTGACGCTACGCTCTGAACTTGTTCAAGCAACTGTGACTTTTTCAAATCGCACATAGACCCTTTGGCAATGCAGAACATTTTAAATAGCCCAGGATTAGAGACAGTCTTGCATGCCATGGCTTTTTATTGCAAAGCAAAATGGGGCAACCGGGCTGTGATCCCAAGAAATTTGGAAAAGTAGAACATGATCATGACTGGCTGAACATCTGAAACAAATGGCTTCCTGGTGAGCGCGCGCGAACAAGCTACTGGAACATTGTTTCTTCCCTTGTTTCAACATTTTCAACTTCTGGGAATTCTTCGCAGTGGCCATGTTTACCAAACCCTTTTGACTTTTGACTCATCATTTCACACCATGCCGATCGCTATTACAGGGTGAGCAGGTGGACCTGAGATACGATTTCCACAAGCAGTTTCAGAGATTCAGCGTCATTTTTAAAAACAAATAATTAGCCTGCAATGTCACTCTTGACAGTCCCAAATCCCTGAGACAATGTAAATGTTGGAGTTCCTAGAGTCCTAGACAGAAGAAAACACAGCGGGGATCTACAGCTTATAGATTTACAATTGTATGCCGTTAGTGAGCTGTTCCCAGCTAGTTTCATCGGACCAAGCATTGAATAAGGTTTGGTCCTTGGCATTAGTTTTGCATTGGGTGCAAGTAGATGCCAACAAGGAAATTGTCCCGGCGATTGGTTGATGTCAGGCGCAGAAAGTGCGACTTCATGCCATCAGATTTTCCAACCATCCTGTTGTCCCTGAAAGGCCGTGTCGCACCATTATGGTATCCCCACTGCGTGTTGTGAAGTGAGCTGCCTATTGACACATCCTCGCTCGAAGGCGCTGAACCCAAACAGAGGTGTCAGTTTTTTTTTCCAAAACACGAGTAGGGAAAGCACGTTCCACCCTGTTTGACATGGGCAAGGATTGGCAAAAGCAGTAGAAAACTCTGAAAACACAAAAGACACTGAAAGTCAGAACGCTGACTGCATTCTCCTGAAGGTGCCATTCGAGAGCGTCGAAGATGCCAGACGCTGCGTGAACTATCTAAAGGACAAAGCAGACGACCTTGGCCTCGACCGAGAAAAGATTGTCCTTGCAGGCAGGTGCTGCCATTGCTGCCAGTGCTGCCAGTGCTGCCAGTGCTGGCAGTGCTGTGGCAGATTTGTTCATCATTTCCTTGGTAGTAGCAACACGCCATGAGTGTTCCGGAAGACTTGTAGGAGTCAAGTTCGATTCAAGTTCTCCTGTGATGTTTCCACAAAACATCGGCCTCCGTGACATCCTGAGGGGCATCAAGCGGTGGCCACACTGCTGCAATGGCAGCCTTGGGCGCCGAAGAACCTGGCCTTGGCCTTGCTGGGTTCCTTTGCCGCTTTGGAGCTTGCTTTGGGATTGTTTTCCTTGTTCTTGTTCAGGACTTTGACGCTTTGACTTGTCACAACCTCGCTCGCTTGCCTGAAGTCTCCTTTCTCCTATCCTGATACTTCTCCATTCTTGTTGCCAGCTTCAGAATCAGTCTCTGTGACACCTTGTTTTGTCAGACGTTTCCCTGTTCGTGATACATGTGGGATTTGAGCCCCTACAAGTTTTCACACAAAAAAGAATCATGCCAAACCTAGAAGTCTGCAGCAATTGCTCAGGCTTTTGCTTTTCAATCCAGTGTTGGACCTGCAGTTCCGAGAACGCTGGCAAGAGCGTCGATGGTGTGCTTTGTTGGTGGAAGCCCTGTGAGACATGCAGCCCAATCTCTTTCATTCGAATCAATGGAAGACTGGCCAATAATCTCTGCAAGACTGAAGAATCAAAGTTCTGTACTGCTTTCAAATGGTAGACAGTTGCCATCAGTTGGATAACGACAGTGTGACATAGTTGTTTAATTAGTTTGCCGTTGAGTGCTGGGGTTCTGATAAAAGGTAGATACCGAGGGGGGTCTCCTGAGGCACATGGCTGGGCTCCAGTGCCCTTCGATGGCGTTTTGGGAAGGAAACGTTAGATGACGAATCGCCAATCCTGCGCGCTCGTCGGGAGACCTCAGCTTGCTTCTCATCTTTTGTCATGGACGCAAGGTAAAATTCATGGCGTGCAACATCCTACAAATTCATAAAGTGAATCCATTCGGCCCAAGGCTGCTTGGGAACGAATTGGCTCTTGAGGTGACATCCAATCTCAATAAACAACTTGAATAAACTCAAGACAATTTGTGATAGTGTGCGTTCGCAAACATTTGAAAGAGCAGGTGCATGTCCTGTCATTTGGCAGGTTAAGGAAATCAAAAATGATTTTCAAGACAAGCCACGACCCAAGACACCATGATCAACCAAGGTCACTTGCCGCAACCTACCCTGATCCTCCATGGCACAGAGGATCACTTGGTGCCACTCCAAGAGGTGCAGCATTTCCAGGAAAAGTGACGAAGCCGCACTGAGAATTGGCGCAGAATCCAGCCCAGTATCACTTTTGAGGGGAGACGCACTACTAACCCTTACAAGCGTTTCGGCTGACCCTAACAGCTTCTGCCCTAACCCCGACAAGGCAGTTTTTCCCGAGAGCGCCTGCGAAGGGTTCTTCGTAAAAAAGCAGCCGTTGTAATACATCTTCACACCCTCACATCTGCTGATCTACATCTTCACACCTTCACATCTGCTGATCTACATCTTCACACCGTCACATCTGCTGATCTACATCTTCACACCCTCACATCTGCTGATCTACATCTTCACACCCTCACATCTGCTGATCTACATCTTCACACCTTCACATCTGCTGATCTACATCTTCACACACTCACATCTGCAGATCTACATCTTCACACCCTCACATCTGCTGATCTACATCTTCACACCTTCACATCTGCTGATCTACATCTTCACACCCTCACACCTGCTGATCTACATCTTCACACCCTCACACCTGCAGATCTACATCTTCACACCTTCACATCTGCAGATCTACATCTTCACACCCTCACATCTGCAGGTCTACATCTTCACACCTTCACATCTGCTGATCTACCTCTTCACACCCTCACATCTGCAGATCTACATCTTCACACCCTCACACCTGCAGATCTACATCTTCACACCTTCACATCTGCAGATCTACATCTTCACACCTTCACATCTGCAGATCTACTTCCTCGCACCTTCACATCTGCGGATCTTCCCTCGCTCTTCTTTCTAACTCTCTCTTAAGGCGGGGGCGGTGCCGCTGGAGCGCCACGAAACGCAACCTTTTCGCACGAAATGGACGTTGGACGTCAAAAACTGAGGTAAAATTGCGATTTTAGTTAGTCCATCGCAACCCTTTCGCACGAAATGGCTGTTGGACGTCAAAAACTGAGGTAAAATTGTGATTTTAGTTAGTCCATCGCAACCCTTTCGCACGACATGGACGTTGGACGTCAAAAACTGAGGTAAAATTGCGATTTTAGTTATCGCAACCCTTTCGCATGAAATGGACGTTAAACGTCAACTAGACGACGGATGTCGCGAGAGCGTAGAGGAGCAGGGTCTTCTGTTGTTAGTATTGAGACATTAAAATTGCAAGCCAATACTGACTTGGACTGTCCACAAGGATAAGATGATACCAAAGTTCCGACCCACATGGAACTTCAAATTGACTTGGACTTTCACAAGGATAAGATGATATCAAAATTCCACCCCCATGGAACTTTATCCCAAGGATAAGATGATTTCAAATTTCCCACCCCCATGCGGAATTTCAAATGGGCTTGGACTGTCCGCAAGGATACACCATTTTGCTGGTGCTGGCTTGGAAGTTGCAACCATCTAACATAGGGGGAGGGACTGCGCATGAATATTCAGATTCAAAAGCAACATGTTGAACAGTTGTAATCCAATCCCCTTTCAGCACGAGTTTCGCATTTCCAACTCCCTGTTCCTGTGCTTCCCCGGTTTTAGTATCCGACTCCCGCTTTCCAACTCCCTATGGATAGTTTCCGTTTCTGAATCTTAGTTTCCGAATCTTTGTTTCCGAATCCGCGTGTCTGTTAGTTTCCGAATCCGCGTGTTTAGTTTCCGAATCTTAGTTTCCGAATCTGCGTGTTTTAGTTTCCGAATCTTTGTTTCCGAATCCGCGTTTCTTGGTTTCCGAATCGTGTTTTAGTTTCCGAAGCTTAGTTTCCGAATCCGCGTTTTTTAGTTTCCGAACCTTAGTTTCCGACTCCGCGTGTCTGTTAGTCTCCGAAACCGCGGTTTTAGTTTCCGAATCTTAGTTTCCGAATCCGCGTTCCTTAGTTTCCAAATCGTAGTTTCCGAATCACAGTTTCCGAACCCCCGTCCTCCTTAGTGTCCAAATCCTCGGTTTTTTTCCGAATCTTAGTTTCCGAACCCGTGTCTGTTAGTTTCGGAATCTTAGTTTCCGAATCCGAATCTGCGGTTTTAGTTTCCGAATCTTAGTTTTCGAATCCGCGTGAATGTTGGTTTCTGATGGGTATGTAAAATCTTCATGTCCGATAGAGGGCGACATGAACCGATATCTTTGTTTTTCATGAGCCGCCCTGTGAACACAGAAATCCTAACCACCGATAGGGGGAGATGCTAATTTGCTCATGGCAAAAAAAATGAAGAAGTATATCCTTTTGCTTGCCATTCCCATGCGGTCGTTTCCTGAAGGCTGAGCCAACCAGAAGATGGTATTGCGAAGGATCCATACATCAGCCCGCGAATCAGAAACTTCGTATCGTCCTATTAGGCAAGATTCCGTGCAACAGGCCATACAATGGTGAGCGTTTTACAAATTAGCTTTTGAAGCCTGCAGCCGACAGCTTTGGCGGTCGCGTGCAAAACGGGAAAACGACGCCGTGCCTAGGCTGGTCCCAAGCTTGCTTGTGAGGCTCACGTGCCAGTGCCCAACGTTGCTTTCTGAAACTTCTAGAAAACCAGCTCTGGCAGCCTGCAACCGACAGCTTTGGCGGCCGCATGCGAAACGCGAAAGCACCATGCCACGCTGGTCCTAAGCGCGCTTCCGAGGCCCACATGACACTGCCTAACGTTGCTTTCCAACACCTCTAGAAACCCAGTCGACAGCTTCATGACGGCCACATGCGAAACGGGAAAACACCATGCCACGCTGGTCCCAAGCGCGCTTCCGAGGCCCACGTGCCAATACCTAACGTTGCTGTCTGAAACCTCTGGAAAACCAGCTCTGGCAGCCTGCAGCCTGCAGCCGCCAGCTGCAGCTGGTCTTCTTCCTCTCATGTTTCCCCCCCTTCGGGCGCTTGCTTTCCTCTGCCGTCAGCATCTTTGTTTTGCCTCTTGCTTCTTCTTGCTTGCTTTTTGCCTCTTGCCTCTTGCTGTTTGTTCTTGCTCTTACTGCTTGCTTCTTCTCGCTTTTTCACAACCCTTGCTTTCCTCTTCCGTTTGCGTCTTCCTTTTGCCTCTTGCTTCTTGTTGCTTGCTTCTTACCTCTTGCCTCTTGTGTTTTTGTTCTTGCTCTTACTGCTTGCTTCTTCTCGTTCTTTTGCTCGCTTCTTGCTCTTGCAGCTTCTTTCTTTCTCCTCTCTTTTCTTGCACCTTGCTCTTTTCTTGTGTCTCCTTCTTTCTCTTGCCTCTTGCTCCTTCTTGCTTGCTACCTTCTCGCTCTTGTGGCTTGCTTTGCTTTTTTGCTCGCCTTCTTCTGCTTCTGCTTCTGTTTCTCCCCTTGCTGCTTGTAGTGTCCTCTCTGACGCGCTTCCCCTTGCTGTCGGCAGGGGGCGGATTAGTTTAAACCCCACGCAAAATTTGTGAGACAAACGACTGCAGTCACATTCACTTCACTTCCAACAGGGTAGGCCCCCGTCTGCCAAAATTATATGGTATATTTATGTATATTTACTGTATACCCACGGCAGTGACTTGATGGGTCGGAGGTAGGTCTTGGATACAATGGCAGTGGACGACTGAAGAAACAGATTCTGTGAGAAGCAAACGATCGTACATACCAACATTTTCCGGACCTTTGTACTTTCGCTTGTGATGTGTATAAAAGTGTGTATATATATAATTACTGTAACATACAATAACTATTAATAACTATAATTAGTCAATCAAGTAAATCAATCAACAAATCAATCAATCAGTCAACCAACCAATCAATCAGTCAATCAATCAATCAATCAATCAGTTTGTTCATTAATTCATTATCTAACTGATTAATTATATGTATATATATATATATGATGTAAAATATACATATTTTGTGTTTGCAGGTCCGCTGTTTTCATTTGTTCTCTTCAGATTTTTCTGTGCGATGTATTTGGGCTAGTCTTGCACATTAAGAGTACGTAGAATTCGTTTCTTGACCAAGGATGGAATGCCTCGGCAGCGATTGCAAAGTGGTGACATTTCCAGGTGAGGGACATTTCTTCTTCAATTGGAGGGTTTCTCCTGTAAACTTTCATCGGTGTGTTGGCCTTCTTGGAGACTTCTTGAAACAAGTTGGTGTTTTGAGCTGACCAAATTCAACCTGACTCAGCTCAGCATGTCAGCGGATGATTTTGATTCGCTTGGGCACTCTTAGCCCAAGGGTGTGGAAGTGCACCTTTGACAGGCAAGCTGGCCAAGAATCATGGTAAAAATCATGATGTTTTCCCAGCGCATTCCTTTGGGTGCGGCGAATTCAGGGACCCTCAATTCAATTCTTGCGCATTCGTCGTTTGGCTGGCAAACTCTGGTGTAGTATGCCGCACAAAGACCAAACTACGCTAAGACACTGCTCAAGCAAGACTTTGTTTGCAAAACGCTGGCATGGTGCCCAGATGTCGACAGCTAATTTCTATTGCAACTCTATTTTCCATCATTTCTCTGAATCGGACATGTTTTCCAGTCAAAGACGATGGCACCTTTTCACGGATGAGTCCACAGCCATGTGCTGCTTGGGAAGGTGCTAGAAGTGTCATCTCTTCCAGCGCTAGGGTCGCTAGGTGTTTTTTACCGTTCAGCTACCATTCAGTTTATTTTTGTTTCTTATCGTCTTCGCAAAGTGGCTCTGTGTGGCTCTGGTCTCGTCTTCTCAGCCCCACAAAGGACTCTCATGATAATCCGTGGATAGAGGTTCATGAAGAGGGCACAGCATGGCACAGAAACACGACCCGCAGTGACTCTGTGCAGCGATGCGAACAAAAAATCTGCACCGACCTCCTTTGCAGCATTCTCGGAATCACTCCTTGCAGCCAAAATTTGGAAAAAGAACATCTTTGAGCATTTTTGATGGCCAGCCTTTCGGAGTCTATCCATTGTTCTGGCATGAACTAGATGATGTGCAAAGGCGTTTGAGGATTTGAATTCCCTACACCTCTCCCTCTCTGGTCTCCGTTGAGCCCCAATGTTGGTTTCAGTCGATGTGGTCTTCTGCCGTTTTTTTGTGTTCGAAATTTGTTTCGTTTTGAGGAGACGGAGCGAATCCTGGACTCACCGGGGACAGTTGAGGAGTGACGGGCTTCTAAAGTTGAGTTGGAATGAGTTGGTTTCAATGGATCTGTGAACTTGCCCACTCTTGTTTGTGACCAATCAAGTGACCAAGTGGCCGGCAGAGCTGCCAGTGTTTCATTGCAGATGCACTCCGGATTCCAAGCTGCTCAGAAAGAAGGTGTAGACAACCGTAGACATACAAATACCGGCTCTAGACCGAATCCATGCACACACACACAACTACAAGAATCACAGCCTATGTAGTAGACTTCCTATCTTTCCTCCATTGTATACTGTGCCATTTTGTATCCTTTTATGATGTTTTGATACATACATACATTATTACATTAAATACATTAAATACATACATACATACATACATACATACATACACACATACATACATACGTACACAACGTACACAACGTACACAACGTACATAACGTACATACCGTACATATCGTACATAACGTACATAACGTACATACCGTACATATCGTACATAACGTAAATAACGTACATAACGTACATAACGTACATAACGTACAGAACGTACAGAACGTACATACATACATACATACACGTACATTACATACATTACATACATTACATACATACATTACATACATACATTACATTACATTTACATTCACATTCAGATTTACATTTACATAACATTACATTACATTACATACATTATATACATTACACACATTACATACATTGCATACATTACACACATTAAATACAGTACATACATTACATACATTACATACATTACATACATTACATACATTACATACATTACATACATTACATACATGACATACATGACATACATGACATACATGAGATGCATGACATGCATGACATACATGACATACATGACATACATGACATAGATGACATACGTGACATACATGACACACATGACATACATACATACATACATACATACATACATACATACATACATACATACATACATACATACATACATACATACATACATACATACATACATACATAACGTACACAACGTACACAACGTACATAACGTACATACCGTACATATCGTACATAACGTACATAACGTAGATAACGTACACAACGTACATAACGTAAATAACGTACATAACGTACATAACGTACATAACGTACAGAACGTACAGAACGTACATACATACATACATACATACACGTACATTACATACATTACATACATTACATACATACATTACATACATACATTACATTACATTTACATTCACATTTAGATTTACATTTACATAACATTACATTACATTACATACATTATATACATTACACACATTACATACATTGCATACATTACACACATTAAATACAGTACATACATTACATACATTACATACATTACATACATTACATACATTACATACATGACATACATGACATACATGACATACATGACATACATGAGATGCATGACATGCATGACATACATGACATACATGACATACATGACATAGATGACATACGTGACATACATGACACACATGACATACATACATACATACATACATACATACATACATACATACATACATACATACATACATACATACATACATACCATACATACCATACATACATTACATACATTACATACATTACATACATTACATACATTACATACATTACATACATTACATACATTACATACATTACATACATTACATACCTTACATACCTTACATACATTACATACATTACATACATTACATACATTACATACATTACATACACTACAAACATTACATACCTTACATACATTACATACATTACATACATTACATACATTACATACATTACATACATTACATACATTGCATACATACATACATTGCATACATTGCATACATTGCATACATTCATACATTACATACATTACATACATTACATACATTACATACATTACATACATTACATACATTACATACATTACATACATTACATACATTACATACATTACATACATTACATACATTACATACATACATAACATAACTTAACATTACATTTACATTACATTACACTACATTACATTACACTACATTACATTACATTACATTACGTTACATTACATACATACATACATACATACATACACACATACATACATACATACATACATACATACATACATACATACATACATACACAACGTACACAACGTACACAGCGTACATAACGTACATAACGTACATATCGTACATATCGTACATAACGCACATAACGTACATAACATACATACATACATTACATACATACATACATACATAAATACATACATACATACATAAATACATAGATACATACATACATACATACATACATACATACGTACACAACGTACATAACCTACATAACGTACATGACGTACATAACGTACATAACGTACATAACGTACATAACATACATGACTTACAAAACGTACATCATGTACATAACGTACATAAAGTACATAACGTACATAACGTACAAAACGTACATACATACATACATACATACTTACATACACACACACGTACATTACATACATTACATACATTACATACGTTACATTCATTACATACATAGATACATACATACATACATACATAACGTACACAACGTACACAACGTACATAACGTACATACCGTACATATCGTACATAACGTACATAACGTAGATAACGTACACAACGTACATAACGTACATAACGTACATAACGTACATACATACATACATACATACCTCCATACATACATACTTACATACACACACGTACATTACATACATTACATACATTACATACATTACATACATTACATACATACATACATACATACATACATACATACATATATACATACATACATAGATACATACATACATAGTTACATACATTACATACATACATACATACATACATACATAACCTACATGCATACATGCATACATACATACACTCATGACGTACATACATACATGCATGCATACATGCATACATGCATACATGCATACACACATACGTACATACATACATACATGCATACATGCATACATACATACATGCATGCATGCATACATAAATGCTTACATACATACATGCATGCATGCATGCATGCATGCATGCATACACTCAGGCTTGCATGCATACATACATGCATGCTTACATCCATACATGCATGCATTCATACATACATACATACATACATACATACTTAATGTACATACATACATAACGTACAGACATAGATAACGTACATACATACATATAAAACGTTCACACATACATACATACATACATACATACATGCATGCATGCATACATACATACATGCATGCATACATGCATGCATACATGCACCCATGCATGCATACATGCATGCATGTATACATGGATGCATACATACATGCATGCATACATACATACATACATACACATGCATACATACATACACATATGCATACATACATACTTGCATGCATACGTACATACATGCAAACATACATACATGCATACATACAAACATGCATGCATGCATACATACATGCATGCATGCATACATGCATGCATACACGCATACACACATGCATGCCTACATACATGCATGCATGCATGCATGCAGAAATACATGCATGCACACACTAGATAAGAATGGATCATTTCAGTGATCCGGCAGGAACTGAATCCTGTAACGTGCAAATTAGATAAGGATCGCCATGTTGATAACAGAAATTAAGTACCAGATTGCGACAACCGTGAAGTGAAAATACAGCTGTGCGGTTCTAGGCTTGGCCGCATGCCATGTCAGTCAAAATTGCAACGAAAAATTGCAGGTACGTCCAGCTGGCCAAGCTGGATATCCCATTTCACTGGTAGCTTCGTTGGACACAGTCCCAGTGAAATGCTGCGTCCCCCTGCATTATTTAAAAAGGGAGAAGAGGGAAGAAAAAAGAAGGAAGTTTTACATCTATCCAGATGTTACACACACACATACACACACACACACCCGGCAGAGCCGGGAAAACCCTGAAAGGCAAGAGGAAGAAAAAAGCGGACACACGACGAGCAAACTGTTGGCCAAAAACAGCACAGGGGGGGAGGGGAACAGACGGACCTCCGGAACCAACCTACACGGCGAAACGGACCTGACCAAAACAGCGCGCACACCTAAACCCCACGACACATTACGGAGAGGCACGCAGGGAAAATTAGGGACCAAAAGGGGGACTAGTTGATGACAGACAAGAAAACCAAAACAATTAATATCAA